TGTGCCAGCGAATAAGTGATTTGGAACACAGAGAATTCCTAGCATCATTTTCTGTTCTACTTATTCTGAGGGGAGAGTTTTCCAACAGTCTTAAAAAAGCAATTAAAACCAGTTCAGGTATTTCTAATCATGGAGCCATATCCTCTAAAATTCAATTCCGGTTTAATGATTGAACTGGATGCCATTTCTTAATCGGCCCAAGGTTATTATTTTGGGGTAGAATTTTAATTCGATCCTCCTCAATATGTGTTGTCAATATTATTTATAGTTAAATTAAAAATCTTAATAGCAGAAACCCAGTGAGCATAGCAAGCCTTGTTGTTAATAGTTGCACAGTCTTGCTAGAATGATGGCCTATTATGTAGGTTCAACATGCCATGGAAAAATGCCACCATTTGTAAGCTTTATCACAGGAAATTAATTAACAAAGCAATACCAGACTCTTATCGAACACCTTTTATAGAGTCATGTGTAACCGAGGTGGCCATTATTAATATAATTTAATTAAAAAAATACGTCACACATTGAACTCTAAGATCATATATCTTAAGCTAATACAGCAAAAACATTTTTCTCTTGGAAGTTAAATTTCTGGTAGGGATCATTTACATTTGATTGTTTTCTGAATGTACAGGTTTTCACACATGGTAAGTCTTTGTAGTTTATTCCTCTTACACCAGTGGACTTTTGTTAAATTTAATAGAAAGGTAAACTATAAAATGAAATAAGCAAAAAGGTGCTTGGTCATGGTACAGTATTTCCCAGAAGCCCAAATATCACACATGTCTGTCTGTCTGTCTGTCTATTTATTTATTTGTTTAACTAACAAGTTTTATAATCTGTCTGATTGTAAGAAAAAAAGCAACAACTTCTAAGTGGTTTACAAAAATATAAAATAATACATTAAAATTAACATTAAAACCAAGTATTTAAAAATATTCAAAAAATGATTTAAAAAGAATAATTGTTAAAAAGAAACAAAACATATGTCAAGATTCTACATGTCTGATTAGGCCTATATAAACAAAAATATTTCAAGCAGGTGCCAAACCAAATACAGGCAACTTCCCATTTGCACATGTTCAGCACCCACCCTTAGTTTTCGACACCCAAAGGGGATGGTGCAGGAGTGGAATGGGGTGGGGAGGGTTCCACACCTCCTGCTGACATGTACGGTTCCTTGGAACACAACCTCCATGTAAATGGGGAGTTGCCTGTACAGTGAAGGTGCCTGCCAGAGGTTAACAAGCATGGGCTTACAGAGTGTAAGTGCTGCCACACAAGCACACAAAAACCCAATTTCTTACAAATGTGGAACAAGCTTTGTGTGTCCCCTGTAAGAGTGCCATTTCCATAGATCGAAGAGGTCAAGAGGACATATATAAGGCAAGGAAAGGAAATTGGTCCCAAGTTGTTAGGGGCTTTATGTACTAATAGGACCACCTCAAACTTGGCCTGCTAGCAAAAAATTCTGATCTCTGAGCAGAAATTTATATGCTGACAGAATTTAACTCCTGTCAGCAGTAACCGTGTTGCAGCATTCTGCACTAACTACAGTGTCCAGATCAAGCACAAGGGATTTTGACTCATGAGCTGAATTAACTAGACTTCTCTACCTGTCTTTGTACTAGAAATGGGGACCACCCAACCTATTAGCTGTAGGTTTAGAACTTAACAGCAAAAACAATGAATTTCTTTAAACAAGGCATAATTAACTTCTGGAACTCATGCTACAACCACTGCTACAACCCCCACCATCTGGCAGAGACTTCCAGAGGAGGCAGGAGGGCTCTGATTCATGGCCTTTTCCTCCCCCTTGCCATCTCCATCAGGGTCCTCAACAAGGCCATGACCTCATGCCAGCCATGGAGTTGGGCGTTGAAGCTAGTGGGAGGCAGGACCAGAGCAAAGCGTATCCACTGCTTTCTCTCCCTTTCTTTTCTCTCTGCTCTGCTTTTTCTTCCACCTAGTGCAGTGATGGCCGAACTTACCCTCCAGTTGTTTTGGGACTATAGCTACCATCATCTCTATCTAACAGGACCAGTGGTCAGGGATGATGGGGATTGTAGTCCCAAAACAGCTGGAGGGCCAAGTTTGGCCATCACTGACCTGGTGGGTTGCTGGGAAGAGACAGGCCACTTTTACCAGAGGCCTGAATTAATTGCTTTGCAGAGGGCTTTTCGAATCAGGCCATGGGTCTACTTAGGTAGAAATTAGAATGAGGGGCACAGTTTCCTTGTCTCACTTTACAACGAAAGTATATTTCTGAATATCCTAAGAGCAAATTACTAGGGGTATTTTCACATTATATTTTACCTGGGTGCAAATCATCTGTACCTGGTTTCAACTACTCATCAGACAAGTACAAGTGTGGTGCTCAACTAGTTGACTGCCCAAGTGCACAAAGATTCTACACTTGTTGATTAAATGTGTGAACACTCCTAATGAGATAAAGGGATGCCATCTAAACCCCATTTTACTTATGAGCTTCCCAGAGGCTTCTGGTTTTTGCTGGATTAGTTCCAAAAGTACATTTTTGATTACTTGGTGCTATCATAAAAACTGAATCATGTGAGGACATACTGGAAATCATCACACCACTCATAAAACCAGATGAGAACATTTATCAAGGGAACTGTACATCCTTTTGCAAGTTAAACCTTAAAATACACCAGATTGTTACTAAATACAAAGATGTTAACAACAGAGTATTATGAATGCAAAGGGAGCACATTCTTATATTACAAGTACGGTACATTTATTATTTCAAGGCAATTCATCTTTATTTTCTGTAAGTTCCAAAGCTGTAAATAGCTGGCAGCCTACACTTGATACAGAAGTTCCATACTAACAAATATTATCTGATGTGTATGTATATTTATATACTCAAGTGAAGCTCTTGCTGCTGGCTTTAGAGTCAATTGGGGTTTTGTATGAACTGGGATTAGGAGCTGTAAAACAGATTTTCAGATTCATCTTGCATAATGAACTCAGCTACAGGCAATGAGTTGGGAAACAGACTTTGATGGCTGAGTCAATATCTGTCCTTGGGCAAGCCAGTCGTCAATTATTTAAGAATTATTAAGTTAGGAAGTTCTTTGGAACTGTTATAATAAATGTGCATTCATGAATCAAACACAACAGAAGCAAACATACAGCCCAAACCTAACCATGTTTACTATGTAATAAGTCTCACTGATTACAGTAGGTCTTTTTTTCTGTGCAGGTGTGCTAAGGATCACACCCTAAAGCAGCGGTGGCCAAACTTGGCCCTCCAGCTGTTTTGGGACTACAATTCCCACCATCCCTGACCACTGGTCCTGTTATCTAAGGATGATGGGAGTTGTAGTCCAAAAACAGCTGGTGGGCCAAGTCTGGCCACCACTGCCCTAAAGCAACCAATTCCTTATCAAGAACTATGACAGAAATGTGTAATTGGTTTTGGTATTGGTGTGGTAGAACTGCAGCTTATTTGCATTGCTAGGTTCCAGAAAATTAATAGAATTTGTCTCTTATATGACCATAGTGCTTTTCATTTCTTTGTTGTTGGGCATACTGTTTTCCTTAATAAAGAACCATTGTGACTCTGTAGTGATGATGCTGATGATGTTAGGAACATAGGAACCTGCCTTATACCAAGTCAGACGATTGTTCTAAATAGCACAGTATTGTTGACACTGAGTGAAAGCACCTGTCTTGGGTTTTAGGCAGCCTTACCATTGCTAATATTTCCTGGAGATGCTGGGGATTGAATTGGGGACCTTTTGCACAAAAAAACAGATTCTCCACCACTATCCTACAATGCTGAAATTCCTGATCCTGTGGTTGAGAGCAGTGGTGGACCTTGGGGTCTCAAATTTCAGCAGTGCCCTGTGTGATGCCAACCCTCCACCTTCCCCTGCACACACATCTTGCCTTCCATTCTAGAACATAGGGTAGTTGTGGCGCCCCCTGCAGCCCCCCAGGCTCTGCACTCAGTGCAGCTGAACCAGTCGTGCTCCCCTTAATTTGACTCTGCTGAGAAGGTTGAACTAAAAAATACCAGAGCGTCAAACACAGAAGTTTATGCTCTAACATTGATTTTACATAATGTGCATTTTCTTTTTTCATTTGCGAACATCTAAAAGTGAAACCAGTCTGCATGAAAGTCAGTCAAATATGAGGCTTTTGCATACTACTGAGTGTTTGATTCAACCTGGGAGAAGATCTCATGGGCCAATTTTGCTGAAACTGGAGAAGTGTGGGGAATGTCTGCTGGGGATTCCAAATCATCTTCAGCCTCACATCAGCCCTGCAGTATTAACAGAAATACTAAAAGAACTACAGGACAGGGCTCGCTGTAGGCTAGTCTCTCTTAAAATAGCCTTTCAACCAGCAGTAGGGAGAGTAACAATAAAATCACTGCAGAGGTGTTGTACGCTATTTTCTCAGCCAAAACTACAATGTTGGGATAACATTGCAGGGTTCTCGTATTCTGTCAGCTTGATCCCCAACCTGCAATAGGATCTAGCACTAGGGTTGTTGTAGTCACCAGGTACATGGCCTGCACTATTGAGCGTAAAATACACAATAGAATTGTCACAAGACACTGTCACCCACAAGCCACTAACCTTTCCAGCGTGCAACATGGAGAATTTGCATTAGTGGGTTTACTCAGTGAGAACTGAGTTAGAAACAGCAGGAACTCCTCCTTTCATTACTTTTTTCGTTTTGTATTTGTGTGAATAATAATAATAATAATAATAATAATAGTATTCCGCACATCTGACTAGGTTGCCCCAGTCACTCTGGCCAACTTTCAACATATATAAAAACATAATAAAACATTAAATCTTATTAAGCTTCCCTATACAGGACTGCCTTAAGATGTCTTCTAAAGGTTATATAATCTCCTTGACATCTGATGGGAGGGCGTTCCACAGGGTGGGCGCCACTACCAAGAAGGCTCTCTGCCTGGTTCCCTGTAGCTTCACTTCTGTCAATGAGGGAACCACAAGAAGGCCCTCAGTGCTGGATCTCAGTGTCTGGACAATGATTGGGGTAGAGACACCCCTTCAGATATACAGGGCCGGTGCTATTTAAGGCTTTAAAGGTCAGCACTGACACTTTGAATTGTCCCTCAGGGGAGAGACTCCATCAGGCAAGGCCGTCCACCTGCCTTGCCCCACCCTCCGGCCCTGGGTCTCCTCATAAGGAAGCTGTGCCTGGAGGAAGAACTGTGAGGGGAGAGACTCCATCAGCGTGTAAACCGCCTTGAGTATTGTAAGATAGAAAGGTGATATACAAATTAAAAATGATGATGGTGATGATGATGAGCCTCTACCATTTGCACCACTGCCGCTGTCACTGGTGCCTCTGCCTCCTGAGCCTCTGACGCTGTCGCTGGTGCCTCCGTCGCCTGAGCCTCTACCACCTGCGCCTCTGCCCCTGCCGATGGTGCCTCTGCCGCCTGAATCTCTACCACCTGTGTCTCTGCCGCTGGTGCCTCCGCCACCTGAGCCTCTGCCACTGATGCTGGTGACTCTGCCGCCTGAGCCTCTACCACCTGCACCTCTGCCCCTGCTGCTGGTGCCTCCGCCACGTAAGCCTCTACCACCTGCGCCTCTGCTGCTGCCGCTGGTGCCTCTGCCGCCTGAATCTCTACCACCTGCGTCTCTGCCGCTGGTGCCTCCGCTGCCTGAGCCTCTACCACCTGTGCCTCTGCCACTGTCGATGGTGCCTCCGCCGCGTAAGCCTCTACCACCTGCGCCTCTGCCCCTGCCGATGGTGCCTCTGCCGCCTGAACCTCTACCACCTGTGTCTCTGCCGCTGGTGCCTCCGCCGCCTGAGCCTCTGCCACTGACGCTGGTGCCTCCGCCACGTAAGCCTCTACCCCCCGCGCCTCTGCTTTTTTTTTTTTTTTTTTTCATCACATCAGGCAGCACACAGCCTTTTTTTTTTTTTTTAATATAATATTTATTGGTTTTACAAAAGAAATTCCAAAAGATGCAAAAATACAAAAATTCGACAAACAAAAAACAACGATAACAATAACAAAAAGCAAACAAAGATAACAATTTCCATAACAAAAAGAAAAAGAAAAAAAGAAAAGAAACAGAAAAATTTAAAAAGTATTATACTTTCATTTAACCTTCTTATCATTACCTAATTCTTTGACTTCCCACATCTCCCCGCTTGTATTTCCATTTAAGAACTCCTTTCAGCAAATCCTTACCCTCCTTTCTTTATCTTAACTCAAAAAAGTTAATCTATTTATATATAAATATTACAACTTTATCAATCAAATATTCCATGCTCTTAATCACAAGGCTTTTGCCAATACCAGTTATTTTCAATCAGACCTCAATTTAACATTCATTAATTTTATAGTATTTCTGTAGATAGTCTTTAAATTTCTTCCAATCTTCTTCCACCGACTCTTCTCCCTGGTCACGGATTCTGCCAGTCATCTCCGCCAGTTCCATATATTCAATTACCTTCATCTGCCATTCTTCCAGAGTGGGTAAATCTTGTGTCTTCCAATACTTTGCGATGAGTATCCTTGCTGCTGCTGTTGCATACATAAAGAAAGTTCTGTCTTTCTTTAGCACCAATTGGCAAACAATGCCCAAGAGAAAGGCCTCTGGTTTCTTTAGAAAGGTATACTTAAATACCTTTTTCAACTCATTATATATCCTTTCCCAGAAGGCCTTGATCTTTGGGCACGTCCACCAAAGGTGAAAGAATGTACCTTCAGTTTCCTTACATTTCCAACATTTATTATCGGGCAAGTGGTAGATTTTGCAAGCTTGACTGGGGTCATGTACCACCTGTACACCATTTTCATTATATTCTCTTTTAAAGCATTACATGCTGTAAACTTCGTACCTGTGGTCCATAACCGTTCCCAGTCAGCAAACATAATGTTATGTCCAACATCCTGTGCCCATTTAATCATAGCAGATTTTACCGTTTCATCCTGAGTATTCCATTTTAGCAGCAAGTTATACATTCTTGAAAGTGTTTTAGTTTTGGGATCTAACAGTTCTGTTTCCAACTTTGATTTTTCCACCTGGAAGCCAATTTTTCTATCCAAATTAAAAACCTCTCTTATTTGGTAGTAATGCAACCAGTCTCGCACTCTATCTTTTAATTTTTCAAAACTCTGCAATTTGAATTTATCTCCTTCTTGTTCCAAGATCTCCCAATATTTTGGCCACTTGGCCTCCATATTGGACTTTTTAGGGCCTTTGCCTCCATTGGTGATAGCCACCTTGGGGTTTTATTCTCCAATAAGTCTTTATATCTTGTCCAGACATTGAACAATGCTTTCCTGACAATATGGTTTTTAAATATTTTGTGAGCTTTAACCTTGTCATACCACAAATATGCATGCCACCCAAACACATTATTGAAACCTTCTAAGTCCAAAACATCAGTATTTTCCAGAAGTAACCAATCCTTCAACCAGCAGAAAGCTGCTGATTCATAATAAAGTTTAAAGTCTGGCAGGTCAAATCGCCCTCTTTCTTTAGCATCAGTCAATATTTTAAATTTTATCCTGGGCCTCTTGCCCTGCCAGACAAACTTAGAGATACTCTCTGCCACTTCTTAAAACAGTCCATTTTGTCTATTATTTGTATCGATTGAAACACGCGCCAATGGTGCCTCCACCACGTAAGCCTCTACCATCTGCGTCTCTGCCACTGCCGCTGGTGCCTCTGCCGCCTGAATCTCTACCACCTGCGTCTCTGCCGCTGGTGCCTCCGCCACCTGAGCCTCTGCCACTGACGCTGGTGCCTCCGCCGCCTGAGCCTCTACCACCTGCGCCTCTGCCACTGCCGCTGGTGCCTCTGCCGCCTGAATCTCTACCACCTGCCTCTCTGCCGCTGGTGCCTCCGCCGCCTGAGCCTCTGCCACTGACGCTGGTGCCTCCGCCGCCTGAGCCTCTACCACCTGCGCCTCTGCCACTGACGCTGGTGCCTCTGCCACCTGAATCTCTACCACCTGCCTCTCTGCCGCTGGTGCCTCCGCCGCCTGAGCCTCTGCCACTGACGCTGGTGCCTCCGCCTCCTGAGCCTCTACCACCTGCGCCTCTGCCACTGATGCTGGTGCCTCCGCCGCCTGAATCTCTACCACCTGTGCCTCTGCCACTGGTGCCTCCACCGCCTGAGCTGTGAGGGGAGAGACTCCATCAGGCAAGGCCTCCTTCCACCTGCCTTGCCCCACCCTCCGGCCCTGGGTCTCCTCATAAGGAAGCTGTACCTGGAGGAAGAACTGTGAGGGGAGAGACTCCATCAGGCAAGGCCTCCTTCCACCTGCCTTGCCCCACCCTCCGGCCCTAGGAGTCTTCATAAGGAAGCTGTGCCTTTTTTGATGTAGGTTGCCTATTTTAAAGTTATGTTTTATTATTACATTTTTGTATTGCATTAGATTGTTATAAGATGTACATTTTTTGTTTCTTCAGCGTGTAAACTGCCTTGAGTATTGTAAGATAGAAAGGCAGTATACAAATTAAAAAATGATGATGATGATACTGGGAGCCAATGTAGGTCTTTCAAGACTGGTGTTATATGGTCCCAGCCACTGCTCCCAGTCACCAGTCTAGCTGCTGCACTCTGGATTATTTGTAAACTCCAATTCACCTTCAAAGGTAGCTCCATATAGAGCGCATGAATCTGACCTCTGGAAGTTTGTAAATAAAAGCCATGTAAGCTTATCAAACTACGTTCATTTCAAAAAGGGGTTAGAAAGGGGAAGCGGCTCAAGACAGGATGTTTAAAAGCTCTAACAGCCTATATACCCAGCTTGACTTTGCTGCATATTTTGTGATTCTTTGAAAACTTCTGCTGAGGCTGTCTCTGGGGCTCTGGCAGGGTCCTAGAACACTCCATCCTCCTTTCCAAAGCTGGGAAAGCACCAGCTAGGTTTTGGTGAGGAGGTGGGAGGTCTATATGTGTCTAGGTTTAAATGCTTTGTTCTTGATTAGAGTTGCTGTTCAGATCTCCTTTAAAAAAACAAAGCAAAGAATTCATTTTTATATAATTATGCAAAGCCAGAAATGAGAAACAAAGCACCAAGGAGAAAATAGGCTTTCAAAAATCTCAAGTGTTTTGCTACAAACACTGGCAGAGAGGGGTGTTAGTGCTAGAGCATGTGTAGTAAACATGTCTTTTTGTCCTGCTTTGTTTTACATTCACACAATTTTGAACACAGCCTTGTCCTTCCAATGAAATAATTTGCATTTGGGACCTACTTTTTTTTTTACTTACGTACAAAGTAAAGAGTTGAAATGGGAGTAACTACAATGCATTGCTAATAAATGCACCAGACCTATGTGCTGCTTTATATGCTACATTTTCTACTTGAGTACAAGATACTGTCTGATGTGAATAGCATATTCATTTGCCAGTTTTTGTTCAAAATGCTCACAGTTGGTTGCCAGTACTTTCCCTCTGCAGCTCACAAATATTTGGAAGAGGAAATCAACAAATACACTCCAGCAATAGTGACACCATCCTTGTGTATTTTGGACTCAAGTACGTAGAATAATAGAATGTGAAAATCTGAAGAGCATCCCCTCAATTCCTTCATCCAAGTTGTTCATTGAACAACAATGGTTTCAGGACAGAACTCCGCAGCACCCCACTTTTTTCCAGCATAACAAGGAACCATTAGGGAGCACTCTTCAGGTTCGGCCAGTCACCCAGCTACATATCCACCAAACAGTTACCTCATTAAGCCCACATTTTGCCAATGTTTTCACAATAATACCATGGGGGATTTTGTCAAAAGCCAGAGCCGTCTTTCCCATTGGTCTTAGTGGTTCGTTGTGCCAGGGCACCAGCCTCTCAGGGGCGCCCTAGGGAGTGGGGGAGCTGTGTGGCTTTGCCAGCAGCCTCCCCTTTCCCTGCACACCCGCCAGTTGCGCCCCGCCAACTATATGGCTGGCGGGCGGGCGCTTCCCTCCCAAGCCTCTGCATCTGCTAAAGACGGCCCTGCTCCCAGTTGTTGTCCTCCTGCTGCTTCCTGGCGAAAGGTGGCGTGCAGCCTTCCTGGGCTGCCTTCTCAGGTGCCCCAACGCCAGAGAGCCAGTCCACCAGCATGTTTTCCTGCTTGATCGCTGCCACCATGCCGGGGATAGGGGCGGTGGGAGAAGGAGGACATTTTCCACAGCCCCCTCCCTTCTTTTGGAGTGGCCGGGGGGGCGCCGGAGGGATCTTTGCACCACGGTGCCGGATATGCTTAAGATGGCCATGTCAAAAGCCTTACTGAAATCAAGATACACTATGTCCACAGCATTCCTCTGATCCACCATGCTTGTAACTCTATTTAAAACAGAAATGAGATTCCTCTAGCATGGCTTGTTTTTGAGTAATCACAGACCAGCAGTTGATTATCTGCTCTAGGACCTGTCCTGGTTTTGTCAAACTGACTGGTCAGTAGTTACCTAGGTCTTCCTTTCCCCCCGTTTGCATATGGGGAAAACGTTTTCCTGCCTCCAGTCTGGAGCGACCTTATCCATTCTCCAAGAAATTTCAAAGATTATAGACAGAGGCTCTGGGATTACAGCCACAATGTCCTCCAGTACCCTTGGGTGCAGCTCATCAGGCCCTGGGGATTTGAATTTATTTAAAGTAGCTAGGTTTTCCCTTCCCACCTATTTTCCTATCTGCAGCTCCCTCCTTGCATTATTTATTCTGTTATCACCAGGTTCGACACTGCTTTCTTTTTGGGTGAAGACAGAGGCAAAGTCGGCCTTATCTCTGTAATCAAATAGCATTTATCCATCTTCTCAATGTAGAAGACCCACAGGCCGTAAAACTTAAGCATGTTGGTTATATGAGGCTAGTTATCTCACATGTATTCTATTTTCTATGCCTAGGTGGAATATACACACATATAAAAAATGTTCTGAAAATGCTTTCTTTTTTTTTAGAAAAAAGTTTTTTTAAATGGTTTTTTAAAATACATTGAATTTTCCATAAGGCTCACCATCGCCATCTAGTGCCACATTTTTTATCACACTTAAAACACATTTAAAATGTTTTATTTGCAGCTGTATTGTTGAGTTTCTCCTTTCCTTACGCTGCACAGGTTCATCACCTGCACTTTTTGTCCCCAACCCTGACTCTGAAGTCTCTGTTTCTTTAAAGGGCACCACCTCTTATCTCTGTTCCCCGAAGCTGCTCACTTTATAAGTGTCCTGACAGCTCTCCTTCTCTTTACCTCCTTGCTTCTCTCAGCTTTCTGTTTCCATTTCAAGTCCATACCTTCCTCTTGGCATTTCTGCTCTATCTCTGCATGCTGAGGGGAGAGGTAGGCCCTCCATCCTGACCTTGTTTATTGTCGGGGGGGGGAGGCAGGGGCTCCTGCAAAGATTTCTGGAAGCACATCATTGCTGCCTCCTCACACTTCTTTCCTTTTCTTTGAATAGGTTCCTACTTCCTTCTAGCAGTTTAAGTTGTATCACTTCTCACATCATTGCTGCATTTCTGGACTCTTCTTGGTGGCGAGACTGTGGATTCTGACTGGAGACATCTTTATAGAGGCTGTTGTGATGACCCCCTGCACTTCACCGTTTACTATTACACCACAACTGGGAGAGCCCAGAGGGGAAGTATCCATTTCTGTTGATAGTTTGTTAGAAACTGACGTGAATAGCATCAATTTTCATCCACTGCACCTATCTTCTCTTTCTCCTGCCACATCAAAGAGCAGTTAAAGGGGAGGGGGCTATAGACCTGGCAGTACATACTCAAAAGTGCCCACAAAATGTCAATCATTTGCACAAATGATCAAGCTCCTTTTGAGCAAGCAGAGAAATGTTATGTATCTGTAGTTCCTAAATGCCTGTAGACATTTCCTATCCTGAATAAGTGAGTTCCCTGCAGGGATAGAATCTGAGACCAGTGTTCTGCAGTGAGGAGATAAGAATGTGAGACAGTTGGCAGTTTGAATTTGAAGAGAATCAGAGGGAGATTGAAAGAAGCAATGAGAGCTGTGGGTTTGCTAAAGCATCCTGGCTTTCTTTGTAGGACCTAATACAAAATTAACAGCTATGCTGGCTGCCATAGTCCAGTGTGCACAAATGTTACAAAGACTACAGTGGTACCTCGGGTTAAGAACTTAATTCATTTTGGAAGTCTGTTCTTAACCTGAAACTGTTCTTAACCTGAATCACCACTTTAGCTAATGGGGCCTCCTGCTGCCGCTGAGCCGCTGCTGCACAATTTCTGTTCCCATCCTGAAGCAAAGTTCGTAACCTGAGGTAATATTTCTGGGTTAGCGGAGTCTGTAACCTGAAGCGTATGTAACCTGAAGCGAATGTAACCCGAGGTACCACTGTACAACTCTCCAGAACGCCCTCATCTAAAACAATTTAAACTCCATAGTGCTACCCTTGGATATTTTCCACCACATATACCTGAAGGAAAACTCAGTTCTTCAGTTAGTGAAAACCAGTTGTACTCTAAATCATTTTAAACCCTGATTCTGTGAAGTGTCACATTTGACACTAATAATGTCTTGCAGTCTTAATTTTTCCTGGGAAATATCTACTTTTTCTGTATATCTGAATGCAAACCAATGCAGATTTATCTTTGTGCGATGCTTGGAGTCCATATATGAGCTGTAAATTCAAGGCACAAATGCAATAAATGAGGCTGGAAAATATAACATACTTCATGGATATAAGAACAACCGGGCCCATTACTCTGGAACGTCATGCAAATAGGGATTTCCATGAGAATCAGTGAGGTTGCTGGCATGACTAAAGACTACAACACTTGAGCACGTAGAAATGTCTTCAGTGGAAGTGGTCGGATACTGAAAGTCAAGATTATTCTACGCACTTGACAGGCTCTAGAATGAAAGGGTTAGAGCTTGCACAATTTCCATTTAAATATCAGTAAATACACAGTACTGTTAGGTGGTCATCCTTTAGACTTCTTTTACACATCCTTTCTTTCTATGCAAATCATGCTATAATTGATCATTTTGCATTTCAAATTATATTATCACACATTTTCTTTTCTTTTTCTTGTTTGGTACTAAGGGCCAAGCAGCACATTCTGCTTAATGTGTAGCATACAGGCACATCTCCAGACTTTATTTAATTCATTACAGCTGCAGGGAGGAGAATTTTGTATCTCGTCTGCCCTCTGGTACTATCAGTATGAAAATCAGGGTCACTGCACAGTTAGGACACTTAAGGAGATGGTTTCCATTGGTGTCTAGGCTTCCTATCCAAGTTGGAGGGGCGAGCAGGTCAATCCTGATTGTGGATGGGGGTGGGAAAGGAATAAACCTTCTCTCCCCATGGGCTGCAGGCCAGATAACAATCT